TTTTTTTTTAATTTGGACCATTTCTCGATTTATGCGTGTCATCCTTGCGCAGGGGCCATGCTAATCTTCTCTGTATCGTTCCAATTTTAACGGATGTCCCGAAGGACGTTTTTGAACTTTTTTCCCTTTCTTGTTTCTCATTTTTTGTTTCTCTTTATTATTTTACTTTTCTTTATTCTTCCCCCTGCTAAATATTCTTTTGTATATACTGTAAAAGAGTAGGCTAGGTAATGATAGCTACATCCCATCGACAGATACAGAAAAGGCCTCTCCGTCCTCCCCAATCTGATTATTTTTTTCAATTCTTCAGGGCCAAAGCGAGCTCAAAATAATTAATATTCCTGCCATTTTTTGAACAGCAGGTAGCTTCTGCTTCAGTAAGGGACCCGCTGTTCCAAAAAATGGCAGGAATAATTATTTGGAGTGCATCTTCCTGCAGAAAATGGCCGCGCTGGGCCCGATTCCCAGCAAGAGTTTATCAGTTCTCAGACAAGGGACCCTGAGCGCGATTCTCAGCAGATTCTTTTGGGACGCTGGGCCCATTTCCAAGCAGACTCTCGACCACGTTTTCTCAAATGATGTTGGGACCAAAAAAAAAAAAAAAAAAAAAAAAAAAGATGTTGGGACGCTGGACGCGGTTTCCAGCAGGTGCAGCTCGCCACCAATAGATGGAGGCATTGAACAGCAAAAAAAAAACGAAACGAGTGCATCTTCCTGCAGAAAACGGCCAGGTTCATCGGTTTTCTATAAATAGTAAAGAGGGTATTTTGCCACCTTTCATGGGAAGATGCACTCGTTTCGTTTTCGTTTCGTGTGCCGTGCGGCGAGACCCTGAGATGCCGTCCTGAGTCATTCGACTGAGCAGTCCCAGGCTCCCAGCTACTTCAGAGTTTTTTTTGTTTTTTTTTTTTTTTTCAATTCAGAGTTATTTATGTTCATCTGACCTAAGGGCATCGCCACACCACTCTCGAAATGTGCAAAAGTAGAATAGAATGAACTTCCCCCTAGAACATGCCCAGTTAATAGAATGAACTTCCCCCTAGAACATGCCCAGGTGCACCCGCCACATTTTTGTCTTTTTCACATTTCGCGACTGGTGTGGCGAGGCCCTTACTTCATGATTTTCATCTGACGGGTCTCGCCGCACGTTACAGAAAACGAAAACGAAACGAGTGCATCTGCCCACTACAGCGGGCGAAATACACTCTTTACTATTTATAGCAAAACGATGAACCTGGCCATTTTCTGCAGGAAGATGCACGCGTTTCGTTTCTCGTTTCGTGTCCCGTGCGGCGAAGCCCTGAGTCTGTTATTCGAGCTTCGATCGGTATTCCAAAAGTTCTTTGGCTTTGCCCAACTGCGTTATGCGTGCTGGTCAACTGTCACAGTCTCTTTTTTTTTTTTTTTTTTTTTTTCCT